AAAAAAAAAAAAAAAAAAAAAAAAAAAGAAAGGTAGAGCTTCCAGCTGGGCATGGTGGCTCATGCCTGTAATCCCAGCACTTTGGGAGGCCGAGGTGGGCAAATCACATAATCACATGGTCAGGAGTTCAAGACCACCCTGACCAACATGGCAAAACCCCATCTCTACTAAAAATACAAAAAATTAGCTGGGTGTGGTGGCATGCACCTGTAATCCCAGCTACTAGAGATGCTGAGACAGGAGAATTGCTTGAACCCGGGAGACGGAGGTGGCAGTGAGCCGACATCGCACCTTTGCACTCCAGCCTGGGTGACGGAGTAAGACTCCATCTCAAAAAAAAAAAGAAAGACAGGTAGAGCTTCCACTGGGCGCTTACATCATGGCCTCCTTCTCTCCCTACAGCCCCTGCCCCGCCCCCGTTGTCAGTACGGGTCCTGGGCAGCTCCTCCCTGCAGCTGCTGTGGGAGCCTTGGCCCCGGCTGGCTCAGCACGAGGGAGGCTTCAAGCTGTTTTACCGCCCAGCCAGCAAGACTGTCTTCACCGGCCCCATCCTGCTTCCTGGGACTGTCTCCTCCTACAACCTCAGCCGGCTGGGTGAGGCGGACACAGCCCTGGGCCTGGGGGGCTGGGCAGGGTATAGCGCTGAGGGCCAGGAGGTAGAGCACAGGGGTCACTCCTTTTCCTGGCCAGGACAGAGCACGTGGTGGGGCACGGGCAGTCACACGGCCACCCCGCCTTCCCCCAGACCCCACTGCAGTATATGAGGTGAAGCTGCTCGCCTACAATCAGCATGGTGATGGCAACGCCACAGTCCGACTTGTGTCTTTGAGGGGAGCATCTGAGAGGACAGGTAGGGCTGGGGATGGGGTGCAGGGCTGAGCGGGTGGGAAGCAGGAAACGTAACAGGGTGAGACATTACGTGCAGCCCTCGAGAGCACAGGCTTAGACCGCAGTTTGAAACTCGGCCATGCCACGTGCTGGCTGTGTGACTTTGGTCAAGTTATTCAACCTGTCTGGTCAGTTTTCTCCACAGTATAGGAATAACAGTGCCTCCTTTACAGAGCTGTGGCAAGGATGAAACAGTCCATGCTATTCCTAGCATATGGTAAAAAAAAAAAAAAAAAAGAGATTGGGCTGGAGTCCTGTAGGCAAAGTCAAAGGGTGTTCCCACTCCCACTTGGGGGTGGGTGCAGCTGAAGGAAGAGGAGCCCCCAGAGGCTGGGTGTTTGGGGGTGCTTCAGACCTGGGCAGCCAAAGCCCCCACCCCATCCCTGTTCCCAGCCTTGAGCCCACCATGTGACTGCCGGAAGGACGAGGCCACCAACCAGACGTCCACCACGGGCATCGTCATTGGCATCCACATCGGGGTCACCTGCATCATCTTCTGTGTCCTCTTCCTCCTGTTCGGCCAAAGGGGCAGGTGGGTCCGGGGCCAGGGAGAGGGGCTGGGCTGGTGTGGGAAGACTAGGTGAGTGTGGGCTCACGCCTGTCTCGTCTCTCTCCCTCCCCCCGATTCCTGGCTCACCCATAGGGTCCTCTTGTGTAAGGATGTGGAAAACCAGCTGTCCCCGCCTCAGGGTCCTCGGAGCCAGAGGGACCCTGGCATCCTGGCCCTAAATGCGGTGAGGTGGGGAGAACGGGGCCAGCTGGGCCGAGATGAGAAACGTGTGGATATGAAGGAGCTGGAGCAGCTGTTCCCCCCGGCCAGGGCCGCAGGGCAGCCGGACCCCAGATCCACAGTGAGTGCCAATGCCTCGAACACCCCCACTCCTCAGGCTCTGACACCACCACCTTCGGATCCTGCCCCCCTTCACCCTGGCCACGGGCCTTGATCACTGGCCATAGCCAAGCTGCAGGTCTTCTCTGGGCACAAAACTTAGGGTTGTTGCTTCTCTCTGTGCCCCTGAGTCAGGCAGGGGGACCCTAAGTCCCAAGTGGGGTTGAATTGGAGTCTGGTGCTCTGGCCCTCACGCTGATGCCTATGTGACGGGCTGTTTCCCCAGCAGGATGCTGCAGCCCCCGCCTCGTGTGAGGAGACCCAACTCTCCATGCTGCCACTTCAGGGGTGCAGCCTGATGGAGGGGAGGACCACGGAGGCCACGGCCCCCTGCTCACGCCTGGCAGCTGCCCCGCCACCCCCAGATGGAGGCCCCGGCCTCCTCAGTGAAGGCCAGGCTGCCAGGCCTGCGGTGGCCCCCATTACCCAGCCAGCTTGCTCGGGACACTAGCCAGTGTCTGGCAGGCTCCGGAGGTGGTGGCAGGGGGCAGGGGGCCCATTCTCAGGTCAAAAGCAAGATTTCTGCCGTCATGTGGGATTTGGAGGGTCCTGGGGGCTCCCCAGCATTTCTGTCCTGATTGCCTCCTGGGTTGTGAAAACCCAAGGCAGCCTCGGCAGGGACCCACCCCCCAGCACCCCTCAGGAGCTGGGGCGGTTCCTGCAGAAGCCCGTTCCCTCCCTGGGCTGATGCTCACTCACATCTGCCTGGTACCCACATGACTTGGAACTGAACTAACATTTTCCTTTAAAAAGCAAAACTTAAAAAAAAAAAAAGGAGAGAGGAAGGCGAATTAGACTCCAAAAGATGACCCTGCTGCAGCCGGGCCCCAACGCTGTCACCCTCACCGATTGTGTTTTCTCAGGATGGATTTTTGCTGTTTTGGCTCTCAGCACCTACCTCAGCCGGAATGAATGTCCTGGGGGCAGTGGGGCGGTGGCCTCAGCCCCCTTACCCCACAGAGCCCGAATATACTCCTACCTCAAGCCCACTTGACGGGCACCCCCTCTCCCTTCCCCAACTGTTGTCCAGAGTTTAAAAGAAAAAAAAAAAAAAAAAAGCACTTCCCCATTCCAGGTGTGAAAGAAAATGTCTACCTCAAGGCTCGCTGGCTCTGCGGGCTGTGTTATCACTGGACCTGCCTCCCCACCCCGCCTGCCCACGGCCCCCCTGCCTCTCCTGCAGAGGGGAGGCCACCAAGGGGAACTCTTGGGGCCTACAGAAATAGAAATGGATTGGGCGGAGAGAAAATGTGAAAGAAGCCAAAAATGAGACGAGATTTGTTCCTTGAAGTACACTTGTCCAAACGAGCCACCTCTTGGCACACCGCCTGCCCTCGTCTGGCCTGTCCACTCCCAGTTTGAGCCGGCCCGTCCTTGATGGGGATGCCCGTGAGGCACCTGGGCTTGGGAGGGCGGCATGGTCTGGCTGCCTGCCTCCTGCCCTGCAGGCCAGGCCCCTGGAATGTACCACGCGTGGGATGGCGTGTGGGAGGGTGAGGGGGTGTGGGTGATCCCCGAAGAGGCGCCCCAGCCTCGGGACACCCAGCCAGCCTGACCCGCCCCTCCACAGGCAGCACCCAGCAGCCGCGGCGGAAGCTATTTTTATACAATGTGTGTTAAGGGTTATATGTTCTTGTGGATTTGTTTCTCTTTTCTGTTGTGTTGTTCTTTGAACTACTTAGTTGAAGAAGAAAAGAAAACCAAGGAAACAAATACCTATTTTTGGTTACACTCAGAAACATTTTTTTAAATAGCCGAAGAAAAATGTTTTTTTAAAGAAAAAGATAAGTGTATTCCTTAAGAATGAGATTAGACCATACAAATCCCTGACCCCCAGCCCTCTGGGGACATCTCCACCCTGAACTTTAGTTAATTAGCTGAAGAAGATAGCAGTTGTGGTGTTTTCCTAGAAAAGAGCTGTGTCCTCGTGGACTCGGGGAAGGGTCGTCCCTTCCCTCCTCCCAAACCACGTGTGGATGCCCAGGGCGCCACAGCGCTCCGAGGCAGTGCCCCCTCTGTTTCCAAAGCAGCTTCCCTCTTCCCTCAGGAAGGGTGGGCCGGGGCAGGAGGGGGCTGGGGCCACCTGGCCTGACTTGGGTTTTGTCACACTCTGCTCATTTTGACTGAATAAAAGTCCTGTTGCCAAAGTGAACCTGGAGTTTTTTGGTGGCTGTGTCAGGTCCTGGGGCAGGGTTTGGGGTGCTGGGTGGGCCGGGGCCCTCACAGGCCTAGAGCCTGGGATAAGAACAGCAGACCCCACGTGCCATAGCTCTCCTCCACGAGGCGCAGCTCCGCAGTCCTCGCCCTTCCCTGTGAGGAGCACATGCTACTGATTGCCATCTCCATTTTGTTAGTTGTGTTTGTCTTTTTGAGATGGAGTTGTGTTTTGTTTTGTTTGAGACAGAGTCTCGCTCTGTCGCCCAGGATGGAGTGCAGTGGTGCTTGGCTTACGGCAACCTCCACCTCCTGGGTTCACGTTTTTCTCTTGCCTCCAGAGTAGCTGGGACTACAGGTGCGGCGCCACCATGCCCAGCTAATTATTATCATTATTTTTTGTATTTTTAGTAGAGATGGGGTTTCACCATATTGGCCAGGCTGGTGTTGAACTCTTGACCTTGTGATCTGCCTGCCTTGGCCTCCCAAAGTGCTGGGATTGCAGGCCTGAGCCACTGCGCCTGGCCCCTGTGGTCGTTTTAAAGCAGTCCATGCATTATTTGACCCTCCATTGAAAAGTAGACTTAATTCCCCTCGAATTCCGTGAACGTGGCTTGCCTTAGTGACATGTTCTAAAGACCCGAATAGAGCAGAAGAGGTGCTGTGTCACCAATGCCAGCGTTGAAATGCTGCAGTTTCCACCTGGCTCTCTCTCAGGACACTTGTCCTTGGAGCGCAGCCACCATGCCGTGAGGAAGCCCGGGCCACACGAAGAGGCCACGTGGAGGTGCTGGGCTGACAGCCAGCATCAGCCATCAGATGCAGGAGGGAGGGAGCCTCCAGAGGATCCCAGCCCCCAGATTTCAAGCTGCCCCCACTGATGCAGAGTGGAGCAGACAGCTGCCTCTGAGCCCTGCCCAGACTACAGATTTGTAAGCCAAATAAATGTGATGTGAAATCACTGAGGTTTGACTGCACTCCAGTTTGGGCAACACAGTAAGACTCTGTCTCTTTAAAAAATAAAAAAAAGTCAGGATGAGGAACAGCTAAACCCATGGTCTTCCCTCAAAGAGGTATTAGAGGGCTGGGCACAGTGGCTCATACCTGTAATCCCAGCACTTTGGGAGGCCAAATCAGGAGGACAGCTTGAGGCCAGGAATTCAAAACCAGCTGGACAACATGGCGAAATCGTCTCTACACAAGATTTAAAAATTAGCCAGGCCGGGCGCGGTGGCTCAAGCCTGTAATCCCAGCACTGTGGGAGGCCGAGGCGGGTGGATCACGAGGTCAAGAGATCGAGACCATCCTGGTCAACATGGTGAAACCCCGTCTCTACTAAAAATACAAAAAATTAGCTGGGCATGGTGGCGCGTGCCTGTAATCCCAGCAACTCAGGAGGCTGGGGCAGGAGAATTGCCTGAACCCGGGAGGCGGAGGTTGCGGTGAGCCGAGATCGCGCCATTGCACTCCAGCCTGGGTAACAAGAGCGAAACTCCGTC